AAAGAATACTAATGCATAGTTTATTATTGATAAAGTCATATAAATGAAATTGATATGGCTCTCCTGGCTTTGTTTGGTTTAAATTCTACCCTACACTGAAAAGTAATCATTTTCTATATTGAGTTACAGTTAAGATTTTTCTCAAAAGCCAGAAAACTGTTGGCCCCAGAGTAATGAGGCTTGAATAAAAAGTACTTCTGTTACCACCCCACGACCTTTAGCCCAGTTTAAAATGTTTTCTTTGGCTGTAAATACAAAGCTGTTATAAGTTTGAGAACACCAGGAGGTCTCTGTGAACTGTATCCCTTGTCCTGATAACAGAGAATTATGTTCTAAAGGTATAATTTATATATAAAACCATAGGCATAAACTACTAATGGCATATTTCAAAGATTGATTGTTAGTTGTTCTTTTCTTTTCTTTTCTTTTTCTTTTTTTTGTTGTTTTCATAAAGGGCTTAAGGAAAAGAATCTTCTCCAGAGGGATGAGTGGTAGCCTGCAGCGGGAAAATAGAATGGGCGTGGATCCCAACAATGAAAATGAGACCTTGGAGGAAACACTTTGTGTTTAACCGTCCGGCTCCTCTAATTTCATTTCATTTAAGTGTCTGTGTTGGATTCCAAGTGAGAATTTTAAGAAAAATGGATGAGGGCTCCTACTTCCTTTTCTCTCAGAATGCAAAGATGCGGAGCCACACACATCCAGTTAATGTCACATGGGCAGGGTCTCCATTTCCTATTTCTTGTATTACTGCCGAGGACACGTGTTCGCGTTCAAGGGAGAAACCATAAGCACAAATGCTCCCTTTCCCCATTAAATTTCTCATTTTTAGTCTCACAGTTCTCAAATCCAAATGTCGGGTGGAGAATTCAGTCAAAAAGCCTCAAGTTTCAGAATGTTGGATTTGTCAATCCCTAAATCACAGGGCGCCTCCATTTTCCTGCTACTTCTCTGTTCTGTAACAACATCTCATGTCACGGTTTCTAAGACATTCTTTCAGAGAAGCAAGACAAAATGAATTCATGCAACTCCTACTTCTTGAATATTTATTATTTTCCTCAACCTCTTAAAATCAAAGGATTAGATAATGAAGACACATCATATAATGAAGGCAGGCAAAGGGTTCTGGGGTCTTTACGAGGTCTGTTTGCACACAAATTGAGAGAGAAATCATCCATTTTACTCTCATAATGAACCTCCCTTGTACTGTGTGGCATCAGGCCAGGCTCTAAAATGATGTTTTAATGTTGTGAGCTGGATCAAAGAGACACCTTGATGATGGTCCTGCCTGAATATTAAGTAATAGCTTTGAAGCCTCACACAGTGGGTTCTACAATCTGATGAGTCCTTGTATTTCCCCCCATTAAGTTGGAACAAAACCACAGTTATCTCAATGGTTTACGTTAAACCTATAGATATAAATATGCTTAGACTGCCAAATAGTCATCACTTAAGGCTCGTAATCAACCACATACATTATGATCAACACATAAGAACCTGAACTAGCTGCACATAGGGAAAAAGGCTATTTTTGAGGACAAAGCATTTGAAAATTAAACAGAAATGATAAAACATAATGTATAGCAGGGATTTTGGGCTAAGAAATAGAAAAATTTTAATGACAGGATAAAACAAGGTGCTCTCCTTTGTCAGGGATGGGGTGAAACATGGCCTATTATACTGAGAAATAGACAGTTTCTTTCTCTTCTTTGGTGTGTTTCTAAGGAGGGCTGTGTGCAAGGCCCTGGGTGAGCCAGTGGAGGGAGACCCACCAGGGAGGGGGCAGCCGGAAGGGTGTTCAGAGGGCAGCGTCCGTTCTCCTGTTTCCATGTTTTGCTAATTTCCACTTTGCCAACGGTCCTCTGGTTTTTAACAAACCATTTTCTTTTCTTTGACAGTTTACCTCAATGAGCACACGGAAAGCCAATTAAAATACTGACTTCCTTGTATATTTATTATGATTAACAGAAAAACAGAGAACTCATTTGAAAATCAAACCATTTATATTATAATAAATGTTCAGTCTTATTCACTCACATGAAGGCAATCTGTGTCCTGGGAACTGGTTTAAAATGCCAATTCTCAGGCCCCACCCCGCCCTGCCCCTACTGAACCAGACCCGCAGGGAGGAGCCCAGCAACCTGGGATGTGACAGCCCCCCACAGGACCCCACGCACACTAAAGCCTGAGAACCACCACTGTCATCTGGTCTACGAAGCTTTAAATTGCTGTTTTATAAAATCAGACAAGATTTGCATTCTTCCGTGCACACTTTTCACAGGCAGTGTTTGCAAGGAGGCTTGGAGGCAGGTGAAAGCCATCTCACTGTGGCTTTCAGGAAGCCCCATAAGCTTCCATTTCCTTTCCTTCTAACTGGTCATTTTGGTTCTGATCTACTTTCCCGTTCACGCCTCTTGAGACAGTACAGAAAGTCGGGTACACTTCCTTGAGCCGAGTTAGCAGTTCCTAGTTATTAATAGCATATGCTTTCTTTGAAACCCTCGCCCCATTGCCTGCAGTGGCTTAACAGTGCCACTGATTACTCTGAACAGAAATCCAAGCTGGATATTTTTCAAGAAAAGCAGCCCTGACACTTACTAGCTATCTCAGGCAATCACAGATACAGCAAAGGTGGTTCCAAAAACGATCATATTGCCTAAAAGTCTAAACTAAACCTAGCACACTGATCACACTAAAAACACAGCTAAGCACATTTGGAGACGGCTGCCTTGGAGGCGTGCCACAGGAGTGAAGCCCGGGCTCACGCGGCCTTCCCCGTCCTTGGCCACGGCCACTGGGTCCTTGTCTCTATCTGGTCTTCCACTCAACTGGGACATCTCTTGGAAGGAAAACTGATCCTGGCCTTCACGTTCCTGGGTTAGGGAAAGAAGCTAGGAAGGCAGGGCTCGCGGGGCAATGGCTGACGCTGCTATCGGCTCCCTGTGTATCTTCCTGCTGGCCCAGTAAAGAGGAAGGGATACGGGCAACACCCCAATCTGCTAATGCACTGGCTTAGATGTCACATGTGTACAGAGGGGAGCTCCTGGAACAGAGTGACAGGACGGGACTGTCTCACAGGAAAGGAAGGCGTGACCCTAAGGTGCCTGTACTTCCAGACGGGTGGCTGGGAGTAGCGTCACTGTGGAGGTAGCAGTTCTCCCCAGAGTTCCTGGAAATCTCATTGTGCCTCCTGTCAAACCCATCTGGAGAAAACCCCAAAAGACGGACATAAAATACTAAATACCTTACTTTCCAGGAGAGGTTTTCTAATTTTTTGTTTTGTGCAAGGAAAACAAAAAAGAAAGAAGAAAAAGTGAATGTCATTTCTGAACCTACCCACATACCCTGAGACACTCAGGAATGTGTGGATCAAGGACACTTGTCTATTTCCTGACGTTTGTGAAGAGCCTGACCTTTGATCCCAATGTCGATACCAATACATTATACGTCATCGAAGGGAAGGCTCTGCTTTTCTTTTCTCTTTAAAGGTTACTGTATTCCCAGAGCCAGTTAGTAGATGGGCAGTAATTTATTTTTTAATTAATTAATTAATTTATTTTATAACTGAAATGATGACTGTATAGGTGCTTATATGACAGAGCTGTCTCTGAAAAAGGAGTATACAAAAAAAAAAAAATTTCAGGGTGTTAAAATTCCTGAAAGGCACAAGTCTTCCAAAGGGGGCCCCAGCTAAAAAATAAAAATAAACAAAACCTCAGATATATGTCATCTGGTCAAAGAAGTCTGCCATCTTGACATGTATGTAGGCTTCCCAAGGGACTCATTGGTTCAGTCCCTCTGTAACCACCGTATTGTATAGAGCAAGAGAATATATGACTTGGGCTTTTTAAAATTCCAAACTTTTGTAACTTGCAGGATATTGGGATCAAATGGAAGGTCTCACTCTACAGCATCCAATTCCCTCAAAAAGTTAATAAGTGACCATGATGTTTAATTTCTGTATCATGTGCGTCTCTTTCTATTTCAATGGAGCAAAATTTCAACTCAAGCTGCCTTAGGGAAAAACTAGATTTTAGATTCATATTTGACTCTACCCAGCAGTAAGACCTTGTTCCAGCCACAGTTGGGGTCCCAGTACCCAACCTGGGTTAGCTTTTCTCCAACTCCTGGGTATGCCTCTGAGCAGCAGCGCCCCCACCCCAGACCTCACATGCTGACAAGAAGCTCTAAACTAGAGTCCACTTCCGTAAAGGGGGCAAGAAAAGGTCCCTGAAGGTGACGTTTTGTCTCTGATTGGCCAGCCTTGGGTCACATACTTTCCTGTAAGCCAATCCCAGCTCCAAGAGGACATACAGTCCTATGGCCTGCCTGGAGGAGCCCTGGGCCACCCAGGGAGGCACCTTGCTGGTTGACATCACCGGCAGCAAAGGGCTGCGGGGCGGGTCCCGTTTCCATGGAGATGAGTGAGTAGCTGGGAAGCACAGATCTCCACTCCAGTGGTCCTTAGAGGACCCCACCTCCCCCACTTACTAAGATTCACACGTGCTACGTTAGTGGATCAAAAGGAGAGTAAAAGACCATTCAGTGGGGCTCCTTGTTGAAGAGTGTAACCTCGTGTCTTGTGTCCCAAGTGCCGCTGCAATTGCTGGCCTCCCCTTGTCGTCGGGAGCAGGAACTCCTGTCCCTTCCGAAAGCAGGAAAGCCAGCCAATAGAGAGAGGCGAGTCCCAGCTCACAGGTCCGCTATCACCGGCCAAAGCAACCGGAGGGACCGTGAGGGCGCCCCATCTTCCCAGCGCCTCTGCAGGGACGCGCCCACTTCCTCGAAATGCCACCTCGCTGGCCCTTGGCGGCTCCATCCTGGGGACAGCGGCCGGCCATGGGAACAGGACGCTGAGGGTCCCTGCGCAGGGAGTCCCCACGCCCAGGCCCAGGGGGCAGATCGGCAGCAGATCCGGAGGCGGAGGTCCCTCCTCCTTCCCTCTCTTTCTCCTCCCCGTTTCCCCTCCCTCCCTCCCACCCTCCCGGAGGCGGCGCGGGGCGGTCCGGGTCGGACCCAGCGCAGGACCCGCCCGCCCGCCAGACACGGAGCGCTGCTGCCTCGTCTGCGGGGACCTGGCAGAGAGGACCCCTCCAGACCCCGAGGCCAAGGACCGGGAGGAGCGTCCTGGACCGGCCACCGCTGGGAACCAACCCAACAGGACAGGGCTCCCGAGGGGGCACCGCTCAGGACGCCCTGCTCTGGCTGCTGCTCAGGTCACTGCCTCTCTGCTTCTGTCTAACAAGGTGACTTAGGCAATGAAAACACAGCCTCCTGGATGACTGCAGGTTTGTAATATCCCTAAAGTTTTGCATGGTGTGGCTATTTGCTTATGCATATTTGTAAACCGACGAACTCTGCAGCTAGTCAGAAAATTGACATTTAAAATATTTTTTCAGGAACATGACAAGTTCGCCGCGTTGTTCAGGCATCAGTGTTATTATTCATCAGCTTAGTTAGCATCTGTCTTCCCCAAATGGTACCAAAGCCTGTCCCTTGGCGACGGGTCTTGTATGTGACACTCTTGCCCTCTAGTGCCTCACCGGCTTGGTAGCAGTGTGATGACTGATAATAAGATGTTACATAACGCAAGGCGACTAAACCACAGCTGGGATTGCTGCCACTTGTAAAGCCAAAAAGCCTGAGCTGATGGGAGTGGATACAGCTGTTTCCCTTTCTTTTCTATCTATCGAAACTTTCTCAAGCGTTTTCAGTTCTTTCAATTTTTATTCCAGGTAAGTGTATCTATTTACTTACCCTCTACGTTAATGGCTCTCTCAAAAATTTAGAGGCTTTTAGAAAGAGACAGTAACTTTCTTTTCAATTAATCTAAGAATTCCAGGATTAAACAAAAGTGCCTAATTTTATTGTTGTAGCAGAAATAGGATATTTTAATTAAATTAAATGAAACAAAGGAATATTGTATCATCCTGGGGTAATTTTAAAGCTTCTCTTTCATAAAATTAAAGTATCAAGGGGATGATCCCTTTAATTGTGTAAGATCTCCACCAACAACTTGTAATTTTCCAGCAGAAGACTGGTTAAACAGAACCCGTGTCTGTTGCTTGATGGGCTAGAAATGTGTAAGCAACATTAGACATTTCAGCTATAGCTGCCTGTCTGTCTATACAGCAATGATTCTAAACAAATATTTCTATTGGATGCAATTTGTTTTATAAACATTATTTAAAATTATACAATTATTAAATTAAATGTAACTAGAGAGAAATAATGAGCCTACGTATTGAATACAGAAGCTTTACATTAAAAGAAAATACATGTATCTCCCATTTAATAGATCCACTTTTTTTTGGAAGAACTAAGTTACATAGGGGTTTACCTAGATCATCTTCCAACTAGTTCTTTAATGTCTAGAAACCATGTAAGTCTCAGAATCATTTAAAGTTGAAAATTTATCCATATTCATTATAAACATATTGGAGTATAGCAACATATATTATCTGGAAGAGTTTTGATGAAATCACTCCTAAGTAATGTAAATAGCTACATCTTAATATTAGATTAAAACACAAATCAAATATTGAGACACATGTGAAACTGATGGCATACCCACTTTTTCTTCGACCTTTGAAAATATTGCATTATCAACTACTGAACAATGCTACTCACCGCAGCAGAGCGAATAACATGGGGGAGAAACACTCAAACACCTGATACTTAGCTGAGGGGCTTTTCCCCTCCTTTTTCTTCAACCATAGCCCTATTAATATTATATTTGAGGAGATTTCAAAAATAAATTTGAAAGAGACTCTTGAAAAAATACTGAACAAAGAGGCTTGCCCCTAACAGAAACTATGCCTTGGGTGTCTTTCTCCAGTTAACGCGGTATCTACTATCTCTGTAATCATTTTATTGTTTTCCTGTATGGTCTTGATGGTAAAACAGAGCATTTCTTTTCTTGTGTAAGTCTATATTAATATTAAACTGTTCACATGAGTTGTTGTTAGAATAAAGGACTCTCAGGTTACTAAGATGTTTTAGATAAAACAAAACATCTCTTTCTAGAGAGATTTGTTATAGTTTAGTTCGGTTGAGTTATAGTATATACGAGTACCTTCTCTTTAATACATTTTCTTGAGAAAAGTATTGTTTCTGAAGATTATAGCAAATATTAGGGTAATTTGTGGTGTAACTGAAAGGTTTGTTAGAAAAAATATATTAGAAGAGGTAGCAGGTATTTGAGGTCCCTTTTTTGGACTCTATATTCTACTGAAGAAGTTTTTATAAAATCTAGAATTCAAATAGTCAATCGTTGACTTGTCATTTCAGAAGTTTAAAGAAATTGCAAATTTTCTTTTCATTCAGAGAACCTTATCATATTACTTCCCTGAAGCCCAGTTGAGTTTCAACTGCTGTTTGGTGATTAATGCCAAGTTTTAAACTTGAATACGTATTTGTTGAGATATAAAATATATTCCAAGAAAAAAACTATATTTAAATACTCTGTGATATGTATGCACCATAAAAAACAGGGAAATAGACTTAGTGATGAAAACACTATTCTCAACTAAATAAATGCCTTGGATTTCTGATTGCTTAACAGTTTAGACGATGGGGAGGTGACAGTGGGAGTTTACTTGTCCAGTGCTATGGCTACTAGAAATACACAGGCATACGAACACCTGTCCAGCTAGATGATGCTGGTGGGCCAGAAACAACCAGCTCGCAGTTTAATGATAATTAGTCTGCATGATGTTCAAAATTGTCTTAGGACTCAAGTTCCTCTTAGAACACTCAATAACTGGTTTTGGAAAACCAGTTGGTTTTGTTTGTTTGTTTTTAATAAAAATGATATCCTTAGCCTCTGGGATGAGTGACATGTTACTCTAAACATTTTTTAATTTCATGCAAGTTGCATAACTAGAAGAAAAGTCAGGCTCTACTGCAACTAATGCAATACATTAGTTGTATTACTACAGGCTCTACTAATATAATACATTATATCACAAAAACTCCTATAGTTATTGAGGGCTACAACTCTGGAGTACCTGTTGCCAAACAAGAGCTTAAAAATCCAGTACTGAAGTCCTCTACTAAATCCTTCTAATGTGTGAATGATGGGTACCCTTATTAACCTTTTTCTTTGATGACGATGTTGGAGAATAACACAAAGCTAGACCTGGACTCTAGGCCTGGTCTAGCCTTGGACTGCTCCCCTGGTGGCTCTGGGCCTCGGTCCTTCACCTAGAAAAATAGGATCTCAGAGATCCTTTCCTAGCCTCTTTGTTGTCCAACACTGTAGACATTGTTCTAGAGGACAGGACTAATAGACATAAAAAGTTAGAGACTAATACACAACTTGTTGATAAATGCTGTTGTTTAGATTTTTAGTAGCAGATATGTAAGTGATGAAAATAACAGTGAAACTCAGAACAGTTACATTGTACCAGGCACTGGGCTAAGCACATTAGATATTAATTTGTACTCATGCAATCTTCACAACGATTATTTGAGGTAGATACTTTCATTTTACAAATGAGGAAATGGAGGCACTGAGAGGTTACTTACCTGTGTAAGATCACATCTCTGGCAAGTGGTAAACCTGGGATTCAGTTTGAGTCTGGCTCCAATGCACGTGGCCTTAACCACTGTACAGTCATGTGTCACTTAATGAGGAGAGGAGGAGCAGGAGAAGGAGGAGGAGGAGGAGGAGGATCAGGAGGAGAAGGAAGAGGAGGATCAGGAGGTGGAGGAGGAGGAGGTGGAGGAGGATGATCAGGAGGAGGAGGTAGAGGAGGAGGAGGAGGAAGATCAGGAGGAGGAGGGAGATCAGAAGGAGGAGGAGGAGGATCAGGAGGAGGAGGAGGAAGATCAGGAGGAGGAGGGAGATCAGGAGGAGGAGGATCAGGAGGAG